AAAATGAATCGATAACATAATTACATTGTTGTTGTTGTTGTTGTTGTTGTTTCGCATAGAAAACCGAGCGGTGGTGGATGTGGAGAGAAATATGACGGATTTAATGAAATCTCCGACAGGAAGTGTAGAAGATTTATCGGTGGATGAAAGTACAAGTAGCGCGTATAAGATGTCGAAAGCTAAAGAATCGGAACAAGTCGAAGAATATATAAATGCCCAAGGAGTCCGTTTTATGCCGCATCAGCAATTAGCACCGTACGGTGCTCTGTGTGTTCGTGAATTGTTTAGGTTCCTTGTGTCTTTGTGTAGTCCGCTGGATAAACAAAATAACGAAGTTATGACCCATCTTGGGCTCAGTTTATTACAGGTAGCTTTAGAAATTGCTGCGGACTTTCTTTCCAATTTTCCGTCATTACTCGCGCTTGTGAAAGATGATCTTTGTAGAAATCTTATTTTGGTAAGGGTGCGACGTACGATGTACATAGTTGTAATTTAGGAAAATGAATTTGTAGGAAAGAAACGTAAAGAAATGTGTAATAACGTGGCGATTGTATTTATTAGCTTCTTGGCACAGATCGGTTGTCGATCCTTGCAGCGGATTTACAAGTATCGTTCTTGCTATTTGAATCGCAAAGGGAGCATTTAAAATTTCAAATGGAACATTACATAAACAAATTGATGGAAATAGTAAGTTCAGATTCGAATAGAATATTATACGATCAACGTGAAGTGGCGCTCGGTACGAATTTCCTGTATTTTTTCCCTGTAATAATATAAAAATACGGAATAGAAGTTGGAGGACGGGAGGAATGTAACGTTGATTAATTTCAGAGGCGATCGTAAGATTGTGGAGAATACCGGGTTTACCAGCAGAATTGTACTTGAATTACGATTGCGGTCTGTACTCGAGGAATTTATACGAAGAATTGATGAAACTTTTGTCAAAGGTACGTTCCCTTCCCTCGAAACTCTGGATAATTTATAGGATAATAAAAATTCTCACGTTGGATGTATTTTATTGGCTGGCAGAATGTATCGGCATTAATGAGTAATATGCATAATATACAATTAATTTCTTTGGACGCTATATTTACATTGATCTCCGGAATGGAAATTAGATGCAAAGGATACAAAGAATTGTGCAAACCTTCTCGGCATAGTGCGTCACCGAATCTTCCAACACGAGAAGAACTGCTGGCTATCAAGGCAAATAAGCGGGTGCGTAATGCTGTTTTCCCCTTTTAATAATATGTATATAATAGAATACGCGTGTATTTATCTATTACCGTGTATTTTGGTTGTGCAGTGGTTGATGGTTGGGACGGAAAAATTTAACGAAAATCCTCGGGAAGGAATCGCTAAGCTGACGGAACATGGCCTTTTGGGTGGAAGTCCAGGCAATCCAGATCCGGAGAAAGTAGCGAAACTTTTAAAGGAGAATCCCGGGCTAGACAAAAAAGCTATCGGGGAGTACATTAGTAAAAAAGAAAATAAAAGTGTTTTAAACTGTTTCGTTCATAGTTTCGATTTGAAAAATACGCGAATCGATCAAGCTCTACGTCTTTATTTAGAATCTTTCAGGCTTCCTGGTGAAGCTCCCCTTATCTCTTTGTTACTTGAAAAATTTGCCGAACATTGGCACGTGAGTGTGTTATTTGCTTTGAAGGATAAAGAATATTCCCGATAGGAGATAAGAGATGGATGGAATGTAAAGAGTGGTCTGGTTGGTGTGTGTTCCAGGACAGTAACGGTAAACCGTTCACTTCGGCAGATGCTGCGTTTACTTTAGCGTATGCTGTAATTATGTTAAACGTCGATCAACACAATTACAACGTGAAGCGACAAAATAATCCTATGACGGCGGATGAGTTTAAAAGAAATTTGAAAAAGGTAAACGGCGGTGCTGATTTCGAGCAGGAGATGCTCGACGAAATCTACAGCTCTATCAAGTAAATTTTCCCTTTTGTTTTGTTAATAATGAGAATAATTAGGATGCGCGTGGTGAAAGACAATTACTTGTGGAAAGTTTTGTTACGAAGAGGTATCGGAGCGGAAAGTAGCTACCTGAAAGTTCGAAATTCCGGTGAATTTGTGGACAAGGAGTTGGCTGAACAGGCATGGGCTCCTATCGTAAGCATGCTTTGCAGGGCGTACGATAAAACGACGGACAAATCGTTGCAACGTCGCGTCACTGAAACTTTTCTCCGGTTCGTTTCACGATGGTACAATATACAGAGGAGGGGAGGATAAATGTAATTGCGAAATGTAATCGTTTGTTTACGTTTTAGGTGCGCTTCGATCAGCGCTCATTATGGGATGAGCAGCGATTTGGACACGCTGATAGTAAGTTTGTGCAAGTTTACGGGGCTTGCGAGCGGCAGTGAGCCTGATCACATAGTTCAACAACTTGGTCGAAGCGGCAAGTGTCAGTTGGCTGCGCGTACGCTCTTTAAGATCACTCATATACACGGGGATGCGATAAGAGCATCGTGGAAGAATATCATCGATTGTTTGCAATCGTTGTACAAAGCGAGGTTGTTGCCGAAGAGTTTGACCGAAGGTGAAGATTTCATCGATCCGTCGGGAAAGATATCTCTGGTTCGTGAAGGAAGTGCACCGAAACCAGCTCCGGTCGATCAAGGAATATTGTCCAGTTTATATTCGTACATAGCTTTGGATACGTCGCGCATGTCTAACCCGGTGGAGGTGGCCGTAAAGAAGAGAGCGAGGGAATTTGTGACGAACTGTTACCTAAAACAAATCATCGAAGAGAGCAAATTTTTGCAGGTTGAATCGCTTCGTTCGCTGGTCGGTGCTCTGGTATTCACGAACTCGAGCGACGAGGAGGTGTCGGTATTTTTGCTGGAACTGTTGTTGGAAGTGACGATTCAAAATCGCGACAGAGTGACGTGCATTTGGCCGATAGTTGAGGCCCACATGGACGGATTGTTGACAATCGCGGCACGAGAAAATCACCCTTACCTTTTGGAAAGGGTGGCTGTTGGAATGTTGAGACTAGCGATCCGATTATTACGGGGAGAAGAATGCGCCTGTACCGTTTTGCCGCCTTTGCTACCCTTGACTCACCTACCTTCGGCAAGCAGCGTGCCGCTCGCGCGACAGATCGCCTACGGTTTATTCGAGTTGCTGAAAACTGGCGCGGCGAATATTCACAGCACGGAAGATTGGAAGGTGGTGTTTAGTCTGCTGGAGTGTGCCGGTGCCGGGGCACTGTTACCGAAGCAATCGAACACGGTGCTGGACGAAGCGGCGAATTCTAGAACGTCGGTGTTGGACCCTACACCGATCAGTCCTGTACCGGAATGGGTATTGGTGTCCCCGACAGGGACGGAAGCACCGCTGCCCGTAGCCGCTGACACGATCGTCCTGAATCGCGATCTGCAACCTCACGATCCCGCGGCTCTCGTCAAATGTTGCGAAAGCTTAACCTTTCTAGTCAGAGACGTGGCTCACGTGACTCCGTTTAACTTTGAGTTGTGCATTCGTTGCGTGAGAACGTTCGCCGAAGCAGTTCTCCAATGTTCGGGGAAACGGAACAGAGTACAGAGCAATACGACGACGGAGGAAGGTAGCGGTGGTGGTAGCGTCGGTGGTGGTAGCGTCGGTGGCGGTGGCGGTGGTGGTGGTGGTGGTGGTGGTGGTGGTGGTGGTGGTGGTGGTGGTGGTGTAGG